TTCCTTCCTTCCTTCCTTCCTTCCTTCCTTCCTTCCTTCCTTCCTTCTTTTTTTCTTTCTTTCTTCGTTCTTTCTTTGAGACAAGGTCTTGCTCTGTCACCCAGGCTGGAGTGCAGTGGTTGCAAACACAACTCATTGCAGCCTTCAACTCCTGGGTTCAAGCGATTGATCCTCCCACTGTAGCCTCTCAAGTAGCTGAGACTACAGCTGTGCATCACCACACCTGGCTAATTTTTAAATTTTTTTGTCAAGACTGGGCCTTGCCATGTTGCTGATCTCGAACTCCTGGCCTCAAGCAATCCTCCTGCCTCGGCCTCCCAAGGCCCTGGGATTACCTCCCAAGGGTTTTTCTTAATATTTCTTCCTCACCCTCAGTTTCTGGCCTTCTCTGTGCACTCACACCTCAAGGGGCTGTCCCCACACTCTTGCCCCTCCTAATGGGAAAACTGCAGTTACTTGTTACTTCATGCTTCCTGTGTCCTTGGGTCTCAGAGGCGGGGCTTTCTCAGTTATCCCTCCCCACTTCCCTACGGCAGCTTACAGTTTTTGTTTTCTAGGGAGTAGAGATGAAGGGTCTGGGCCAGGTGCAGTGGCTCACGCCTGGAATCCCAGCCTTTTGGGAGGCCAAGGCAGATGGATCACCTGAGGGCAGGAGTTTGAGACCAGCCTGGGCAACACGGTGAAACCCTGTCTCTACTAAAAATACAAATATTAGCCAGGTGTGGTGGCATGTGCCTGTAATCCCAGCCACTCAGGAGGCTGAAGCAGAAGAATCGCTCGAACCCGGGAGGCGGACATAGCAGTGAGCCAAGATTGCGCCGCTGCTTTCCACCCTGGGTGTCAAAGCAAGACTCCGACTCAAAAAAGAAATGAAGGAATGCTCATCATCATTGGCCATCAGACAAGTGCAAATCAAAACCACAATAAGATACCATCTCACACCAGTTAGAATGGCAATCATTAAAAAGTCAGGAAACAACAGGTGCTGGAGAGGATGTGGAGAAATAGGAACACTTTTACACTGTTGGTGGGACTGTAAACTAGTTCAACCACTGTGGAAGATAGTGTGGCGATTCCTCAAGGATCTAGAACTAGAAATACCGTTTGACCCAGCCATCCCATTACTGGGTATATAC